AAGGACCCAAAAAAGGATTGGGCCTTAAGTTCCGAAAGGCTTTAGGAAAGGTCCCGGCCCAAAAAGGATTCTTGGGGTAGACAAATTTTCTTCTTTTTCTTCTTCTTACCTTCCTCCTCATCCCCTCCCCCTCCTACCCTTTTTAAAATACCCCCCTTTCCTTTCCCCCTTTTTTTCTCATCTTCGTCTCCGTCCGTCTTCCTCCTCCTCTACCTTCCTTTCCTTCTCTTGCCCCCCCCCCCCCCGCCTCCTCTTTGCCTCTTACTGCATCTTGACTCTTTTATTACCATTGTGCAGCTGTCGCAATGCTGAATTGGGCCAGCGTTCTGCTGAGGAGCTGAAGAAAGAGGCGAGTGCTTGCATCTTCTTCTTCACATCTTTTCCCTATTTGATTCTCCTTCTCTTCGATTCCCTCCTTCCCTCCTTCTCCACTTCCTCCTCGTCCTCGTCCTCGTCCTCGTCATCGCCCACCTCTTGCTCCTCCTCCTGTTGCTCCCTGTCCTCGTCCTCGTCCTCTTCCTCTTCCTCATCCTCGTCCTCGTCCTCGTCCTCTTCCTCTTCTTCTTCCTTGTCCTTGTCCTCGTCCTCGTCCGTCTCCTTCTCCCCCTCCTGGCTCCTGTCTCCTCCTCTCATTGACATGCAGGGATGCAATGTAGTCTTTCGTCGGATCGACATATCTGATAAGCAGAGTATCCAATCCTTTGCCAAGCAGGTGCCTCAACCCCCCTAGACCCTTTCTACTTCAACCCGGGCCCTCTCCCCCCCTGTCTCTCTCTCCTCCCCTCCTTCCAATCCTCCCCTCCTTCCTACTCCTTGCTTCCTTCAGCTTCATCCATCGCTCTCCTGCAATTCCGCTAAGCTCCATCCTCTCCATGCGTTTCTCTCACCCCACAAAACTTGCTTGCTCCCTCTCGCAATGTCACCTTTCCTTGTCTTCGTTCTTGTCTGTGGCTGCCTGTGCTCGCTACCTCGCCGCCCCATCCCATCTCCTCACGCGCTCCTGCAGCTCCAGCAAGAGTTCGGAGGCCTCGACATCCTCGTCAACAATGCAGCGATCGCTTTCAAGGCTCGCGACCCGACCCCGTGAGAAGCTTCGCGATGGGAGAGAGGGGAGGGAGGGAGGGAGAGATGGAGGGAGGCGGGGAGGACGACGCCTAGGGCAGAAACTCTTAGCCAGGGTGACTGGACGTCGAGTCGGTAAGGTGCTTGTGGGAGAGGAGAAAGAAAGGTGGACAGGGGGGTGAGCATAGAATGTGATCACGGAGATAGGCGGCTTCCCACGGCCCTGACTGGGTGGCTGCGGTCCGTCGACTGAGGCACCGCGAAATGGCTTATTGATAGGTCGGATAATTTTTGCAAAACGGCCGGAAGATGCTTCTCGTTCAAGTTCGAAGCTCGCGATCAAGCACGACTTTCCATCAGTGTCACCCACCTGACCCGCTGATCAAATATGAGATTCAAGGAAACGATGACTAGACGAGGAAGGTTTCGAAAGAGACCACAGTTCTCCCCATGACTGCTACACCGTGGTCGCCATGTTCCTGCCT